ACACCATTGGATCTGGGTTTTATTCCAGGTCACACAAACCCTTGGGACCTGTGGCTTCCCAAAGGAACATGTTACCAGAAGAAGGGGTACCATATACCAAGCAGAAAAAAACAACAGCTATCCTATTCCTTGGGGTGGGAGGAGTAAGGAGGGCATCCAGCAGGTGTAACTTCTGAGCCCATCCCTAGAGTAAGAAGAGTGTGAGTTTAGAGCATAAATTCTGGGTTCAGCTGGGGTTGAATCTCTGCTGTTGTTCATTAACTTGGTGACTTTGAACAAATTTCCCAATCTAATACTTGGCTTCCTCATCTGCAAAACAGAGTAACAACAGTACCTAATTCACAGGGTTGATTTGAGAATTATATGAGATGATGATATAAAGAAATTAATATGATTCCTATGAAATGGAAGTGCTCGCTGAGACCTAGTGCATCCTGTCATCTCAACATGCAGCAGTTTGACTCTTCAGGGGCTATGGCAGCCTGGGTGAAGATCTCTCTCTGGAGCCCATCTCTGCAGACATCAGATACTCCCTGCGCTCTACAGAATGCCTCCTATCATCTATTTTGAGTTCCCTGTTCTGTTCTCTAACTCTTCTTCCATATTTCATTGGACTCAAGAAGGAGTTAAAATGCCACAAAAATTATCTATTTTTGAGCATGAGCAGATAGCGCAAGAAACACTGCTTCTCCCACAAGAAGACACACGCTCATGGGATTTCCCTGGCAATGCCATAGAGCCTGAAGGTCTGTCCTGGGCAGCTGGATCAGGGTGGGGAAAAAAACTGTGTTCAAATTGTTAAGCTAAAAAAAAAAAATCACATTCCATGTTTCCAGCCAATAAAACATGGCTGGGTCCTCTGCAGGGGCTGTCTCTATGCCATGTGCTCAAGGATGCTGGGACTGGCCAACACTTGCTGCTGAAGTGTCCTTGGAGCTGCCCAGAGAACCAGGAGTCTACGCCAAGCTCAAGAATTGCGAACTACTCACCCAAGACGAGTGAGCAAAGGGATCCAAGGAGGAAAGAAAGTTTTTAATAAAATATATCCAGTATTATTCCTACCTCTGCAAAACCAAATCTGAGAGTTTGCCAGAGGCTGTGCTTTCTGAAGGACTCTCTCCTAAGAAGGACAAAGTGTGGCTGTTGGCATTGGTTACAGAGAGGGAGAAGCCAAATTAAAAATGAAAAAGAAAACTTCCACAATTATAAAAGAATCGTGTGATGCGATTGTGAGTATGCACTTACATAAAATTGTGTATATATCTATAAAGAAAAATGTAAATAAATTTTAAAGGGACATGTGAACTTTAGAAGCAGACAGATTCATGTGGGAATTTTGGATTTACCACCCCTTTGTAGCTAGTGTGATCTCCCTGACCCTCAGTTTTCTCATCTATTCAAAGGCAGTAATTATAGCACTTCATTCATAATGTCCTGAGGAATCAGTGAGTGAATCCTAGGTACTGGGTACCCCACGAGAAAGCCAATATTATCACAGAGAGAAAACAGAAGCTCAAAGGCCAAGGTGGGGGTGAATGAGGGTGAATAGTTTTCAATTTCCAGAAAGCCCTATCTTCTTATGTTCTGGTCACAGTGATATCACATTTCCCCTCCCTGCTTCATGCATCGCTGTTCTTCTACTTGGGACACTTCTCCATTTGCCCAAGTGGCAAGCTCCTCTCTGTTAAGGTCCATCTTGAATGCACCTCTTCTGAGACGCTTTCTCTGGTTCTTTCCTCCCGGGTATATAGGATGCGCCTTCCATGGTGCCACCTGGCCACCCCCACCACCACATCCTACTGGTGTGGCAATGCCACATGCATGACAAACGCCTCTCCTTATATGCTGAGTTCCACAAGGACAGAGGTTGTGACCTACTCCTCTTGGTGTTAGCAGCTCCTGGTACACAATGGCTGGTCAGGGAGCAGTTGCTGAATGGAAGCATAAAAACAAAATGGAGGGCATATGCTCTAGAAGGATGATCACTGCGTGTTCTCCAGTTGGAGGAATGAGAACGGAAATAGACGCCGGCTGCAACATGGGAAACTTCAGCGGGACACAGAGAATTCTTAGTGAGAGTGCTAGATCCCAGACCATGTTCCCATGGGACAGCATGGAATTTCCTTGGTGGGTCCTTATAAAGGAGTGCTTTTAATGTTTGGGGTGATTCTGATGTGGTTTTTGCTTGAAGGCTGGCTTCCAGCTTGGTATGAGGTTCATAAAACAACCCATAAGTAACCCGGATGACAGTGAAGGGTCTTTTGGCTCTGGGTCAGCCTGTTCTCCCGATGATTTCCTGTGCTGAGCACTAGCCAAGGAAGCTGGGAAAGAATGTGGCTGTTTGTGTCTGAGTAGAGGGTGGGGAGTCCTGCTCCGACAGGCCTCAACCCCAGCCCTTGAGGACACAGTGTTTTGCCAAGGGTCACAGTTACATTGAGCTCAAGTACCCAAGTCTAATGATACTCAGTTTCTTTCTTTCAACCATAACTGTAGACTAATAGAGGAAGGAGGGCCTACAGTCTAGACCAGTGCTTTCCCACTTGACTTTATTACTTGTTTAGTGTACCCAGGTGCTATGTGGCACTTGTGTGTCAGGCCCTGCCTAGGTCTGGGTAGAGATAGATGAACAAGACCAGGTCTCTGTCCCTGCTAAGGGACAGATAGAAAGTAAATTATACGTAGAAAATATTACAAAGGAAGCCATGTGTGGTGGCACATGCCTGTAATCCCAGTGACTTGGGAGGCTGAGGCAGGAGGATTTCAAATTAGAGGCCAGCCTCAGCAATTTAGCAAGATATTATTGCAATAAATAAATAAAGCAAAAAAGTCTGGGGATGTAGCTCAGTGGTTAAGCACTCCTAGGCTCAAACCCTAGTACCAAAAAGAGAAAAGAATAGAAAAAAAAAGGATTATGAGGGAGAAAAATGGTAAAAGAAAGAGAGCCAGCCATTCCTTTATCTTCATCACAAAGGTGAGGCATTATGACCCCATTTTTTTTTCCTCAGAGGAAGGTACAAAAAAAAGCAGAAAAACAGTTAATAAAGAAATGAAAATACTTCCAATAAACTACCTCCACAAAATGCAAAAAGGATGTGTGGCCACAGTGTCAGACCATATCTGAGAACTTTAGGGTGGGCCCAAGACACGAGACGTAGAGAGTGAAATGGGATTTGTTTCCTGAAGAGAGGACGTGAGAATTCAAGGCTACACTTGAATGTTTGCCAAAGCCTTGGAAGGTATAGTAGCTACCTGGGTTTGAGCTGACATGCTTCAGCCAGCCTCCAGGGTCAATCACACAAGAAACTGGATAGATACACAGACAGGCGTTGCCAAGTGCTGTGGAATATGGTGGGTCTTGGTTTTGATCCCTTCAACTGAAAGCCTTCCTGCTTTGGTCCACACCATCGGATGCTGGCTGGGTAGCATGGCTGGGTGGTCTGGGGATGCACCCTGGCGTGTGCTTGCCCCTCCTGAGGACAGCTATTGGAAGCCGCCCATGCGAGGAGCCTCAGGGCCCTGAGCAGTGAGCGCATCGTCAGAACCTCCCTTGGCTGCTGTGCAGGGGGAGGCAGCCGATACTGACTAGCTCAGCACAGTTAATTAGTTGCAGCTTAGCTTAGTGCTATTAAAAGGAGGGCAAGCCAATGACATTGACACATCGGGGTAGGAGAGATGTGTGGTATCTGAGTGGAGGTTGAGAAAGAACTGAGAAAAGAGGAAATTAGAGCCATGACATAATTCTCAAGAGCAAGCAGGTTTGGGGTCTGAGAAAAATCTATCTTCACACCCACTGTCTAACATTTACCTAATTTCAAGTGTCAATCAAGGCCCTTTCTAACCAGTGTGCTCTTATAAATAATCATGCAGCCAGAACTCACAAGTGAAAAATACCAAGTAAACCACAGGACGTGACAGTTTGATCTCTGCTCTGAGTGGCTGCTAAAAGCAAAATGAAAATGAAAATCTTTCGTGTTAGGAAGATGTGAGAATTGAAGTGACTGGGGAGTCTGTTGGGAACGCCAAGGCCAAGGTAAGATTCGCTTACCGTATTTCCTCCTCTCCACAACCATGGCAGATACATATGTGTGCTGTGCTCAGAGGGCCTCAGCTAGGTCCTGAAGGTCCCTACCCAGGTGGAAAGTTTCAGGTGCTGGGAGTTTTCCAGAGGAAACTGCAACCACGGAGGGCAGCACCTGAAGTAGTAGCCAAGGAGGGCCACACAGGCAGCTCAGGTGTAGCCACACCAACAGTCCTCTCCTTAGACTCAGGCACCAAGGGAGCCTCACATTCGTCCTCCTCCCCCAGGAAAGCAGCTGCAGTCAGAAGCCTCACCTCAGTTCTCACAGCTCTGGCTTCCCCAGACTCCCTCCTTCAGAGATGTCAGTGAAGTGGCTCAGCTTGCAGCAGAAGCTGGGAGCTCATTATAAACCTGGTCCCAGGCTGCAGTGCAGGATGTTCCTGAAAGGCGTCTGAGGACTAAGACTCAGGAACATGGGCTGGCCTGCTTGTGTTGGGGCTTTTTGCCTATTCCATACTGTGTTCATGAAGTTCAGGAGAAGAGCAGTTGATCAGAACAGTGAATTTAGAAAAAATAAAACAATGTGCCCCTGGGAGACAAAGTCAGAAATGTAATGTGGGACATAAATTTTGGGGGCGTCATTGTGTAAAATGCCTGATTAGCCCATCTTCAAAGTGCACTAGCATCTGACCTCTTCCTAAATGGAAATAAAGCTCCTCAGAGTTCATTAAAAAAAATCAGTCCTCTGGTTGTCACCAATAACTGCAGGAGGCTTGGGGATGTGTGGCTCAGTGGTAGAACACTTGCAGGCCATGTGTGAGGCCCTGGGTTCAATCCCCAGCACTGTAAAAACAAACACACACAAAAATAACTGCAGGAGCCTCGATTTGGGATCTTTGATCACGGTCTACATGTTCATTTGAAGAAATATTAAAATACTTTGAGCCAAAGCTATCAGAAACTCAAGAAACAGACATACCACCAAATGGAAAAGTCATTTAATTCAAAAGTCATACTTCCACTCATTTCATAGGGATTGTCACATAACCAAGCAAATATAAGAAAGCCGAGTTTTAGAGGCTGCTTGACCGAAATTGTGTGTTTTTTATAGATACACGTATGACACCAAAGCACATTTTTAAAAAGCCTGAACACAGTAAAATGTTTTTCTAATAATAGGGGAAAAGTTCTATCCTAGTCACAGATTACTTTTTAATTATGGAAACTGATTCTATGCACCAGTCAATATTCAATACTGAAGTTTAAAACAGTGCATTCTTTTTTTTTTTAAAGAAAACATTAAAGTGCCATTTTATAAGTACTTTATTGATATTATATCACACAGCATTTTACAGTATACTCAGAGGTAATCTAAATTATGAATTAAACATGCAAATAGTTTCTTTCCCAAAATATGGACACACTGTCTTTTAGAGTGTTTTTGAACACTAGCCTAGCATTAGCTACTAAGCGTCTATGGAACTGATCTTTTTTCAACATGACTTTTAATAAGTTAAGAAGGAACATAGCTGCAGATAACACTACCTGATAAATATGAACACAGATTTTAAATGGCACTTAATTTACATCTTTGATCTTTTGCTAGGCAATCAACAGCCTCCTCATGTGGATCTTTGTATGAGTCTGTATCTTTACATGTGTAGATATATACTACACACACACACACACACACACAAGCACATACATTTACACCTTAGAATCATCAGATATATCTTTTCACAGATATAAGGTTGATCCTGGCATCTGAATAACCAAGAAAGCTGCTTATAAGTGTTCACTTGGACAACTTTGTACAAATGAATGGTATATAATGACAGAGACTGTCATAGCCTCAAGAGGGCTGTTCCAGGAACTCGGACATTTTGGTTATCAATACTCTGATTCTCACTGACTATGCTACTGTGAAGTTGGACACAATGGCTAACTGTTCTCCTTCCATGGGTCTAGGACTGAGCTGTCTTTGCTCTCTAAACCATTCCACATTGAAAGACATTTTCACATTATAATGTCCCACCAAGATTTTGTAAAAATATTAATTGTGAAATTTTTCTGTAGTTGTTTTTCCTCCCCATTAAAAACAATATTTTATCCCTCTAAAATAATCCAGAGTTTCTCAGAATGGTTCGCCACACTCCCTACATCCAATACTTTTTCTCTCGGGAACAGAGGTGCATCCGTGAGAGACTACATTTCAGCAAGGGCTGGCTCTGAATCACATCGGGATTCTCTATGTGGCCTCTCTGTCTGCTTTGGGAAGCTCTTCAGTTAGACAAGTACTGTAGGCGGCAAAAGGAAGAAAGCTAATTATTACTTGCTGGAGTATCTCAGGCATGCTGCAGGATTGTGCAAGGTTCCATGCTCTGCACTGTTGTCATTTTGATGCTACAATTACGGAGAAGTGGTTCAGCACCCAGAAGATCAGCGTGACTGCCAAACACATTTGAGCACAAGAGACATTTTTTAAACACCAGCACAGGGTGTGTGAGAGGGCACCTGGCTGACTTTAAAGAGATGTGGGGCAGGACTGTCACCATAATTGATTATTGTCAACTTTGCCAGAGATGATAGATAACTCCCTAGACAGACACCTAGGACATTCCTTTGAAAGCCAGGCAGCTAAGAGGCTTTGGTTCCTTCAGTGCTGGCTACCTATTTGGGGAACATGGTTGCTCGTAAAACATTCAATAGCAAAGCAAACAATGGGTGTCATGGTGGCTGTTGGTGCAGCCGGGTGTCCCATTATATAAAACTCTGATCCAATCTTGCTTTTGGAAACAGAAGTCAGAGGACAAAATGTACCAATAATGGTCATGAACGGACAACCTGGCTACCTGCAGCGTACCTTCTGTTTGCCAGCCATCAATGAGGAATGTTTTTGGAGCCTCTGTAGTCAAGATAGAGCTTTTAGTGTGACAGGGATTACCATTTTGGGGGGCAAACTCAGTTGACAGAAAGACTTTCCTCTGAGGTATGGCATGTTTATTTTGAAAAACTGCAGAGAATTTCATTAGTCTTGTGAAAGTCAGGATTTTGCCTGGGGGCAGGGATGTGATGCAAGTTATCCTCTCCTGGCATGGAATTGTTTAACTGTGGGCTTCTGGGAGTGCCTGAAGGAGGAGTGAAAGGCGGAGCTTGATAACCCCCAAAGATTCAGGCTATGAGTCATATAAAGGAAACTCAAGGCTCCTAGGAGAGCTTTGGGATCCTCATGGATGATCTTCTACTCTGATACCAATTCATTTCTCTAATTTGCCTTAGAGTTCCCTGTTCAAGCAGAAAGAATTAGGGATGGGAGACCTGGATAATGGAGAGAGTAAAATTCATTTTTTTTTTGTTTGTTTGTTCCAGGGGTTGAACCCAGGGGCATGTAAGCACTGAGCCACTTCCCTAACCCTTTTTATGTTTTGTTTTGTTTTTAATTTTGAGTCAGAGTCTCATTAAGTTGCTTAGGGCCTCACTAAGTTGCTGAGGCTGGCCTTTAAACTTGAGATCCTTCTGCCTCAGCCTCCCAAGCCACTGGGATTACAGGAATATGCCACAGCACCCAGTTTAAAATTCATTTTTAATCTTCAAGTTCCTTCCTACTGGTCGGTTCATATTCTGGACAGTTTCTCCAGTTCTTCAGCTGATAGGGAGAGAAGCCTGGCTAAACAGAACAGCTGTCACAGGCCCAGAATGGCTTCAGGGAAGCTGGGAAGTGTCTGCCTAAAAGATTCTGTTGGTAGAAGCTTCAACACAGGGCCATCTCAGGGGGGGAAGGACACACTTCCAAGTACTCAAGCTGGGGCCAAGTGGCTATATAGTGTGCTCCACCATAGTACTTCTGTTCCTTTACATTAAACTCCAAGTACTATGGGTCAGGTGACAAATTAAAACATCAAATGCATCAAAAGCATTATCCTGGGCTCTTTAAATCTGGAAAGTACAATGATATGTAAATAAGTGTGCATGCCCCTCATCTCCCACCTTGTTCCCAAGCCCATAGGGAACAGGCTGGGCACACATTAGTATATTCCTTTTCTCTTTGGGTTTCAACAATAGCTTTCTTGAGTTCTGCCTGGGTCTTGTACATGCTTAATTCTTCTTTGATTCAAGTGTTATGTCTCACTTGCTTCTGGGTGAGTTCCTAGATATCAGCTGTATAATCCTGGAGCTGATAAACTGAATAGTGAATCACAAACTCCGCTAGCTTCAAAGCCATCATGAAAATTGTAATGACACAATCTACATCCCTCTTGGGGTCTTTTTCTTATTTGGGGGTTGCAGGGAATCTAGAGGTAAAATAGAGCAGGAGAAAAGCGAAAGCAGCAGCACATCAGGAACTAAGGATCCAGAGCAGCTGGCTCTTTTGTTTTAACTTATAGACTCAATTTACAAAGTGGAGTGTCCCCATGGATAAAGCCTTAGAAGATGCAGAGAGAAGTAAGGGGTAAACCAAGTGTCCCATCTCCTTCTCTCTTAACACCTTGGAGTACACCAAGAGATACACCTGAGAATGAAAAACAAGACAAATCAAAATGAAAACAAAACAACCCCCCCTCCCAAATAAAAAACTTCATCCCTGGACCCACTTATTTGAATCCTGAGTTTTAGCTTACTGCTAAGTGGGCATTTTTGGAAAAATCTCATTGCCTGAAGATGCTCTTTCTATCTCCAAATCCCAGAATGCTCAAAAACACATGTAAAATAGAGAAGACCAAACCACTTCGATCTGCTGCACCCATCAACAGGAGCTGGCAGAAAGCAGGCACATGGGCATATCTTCTGCTGCCAGGCCAGAGGGCACAATGACCTTGACTCTTCCACCTTGCCCCCTTTCTCTCACTCTGAAACACACTTATTCAGCAATCACAGCCTAAATGTGAAGCAACTAGCTTAAAGAATATCAAATATAAAACTTTGCCATATAGTGTTTCAAATCACTCTATTTACAAGTTTATCTTAAAAAAAAAAAGACAGAAAAAGATACAGTAATTCAACACAATTCAAGTTTTTCTTTTCTTCATTAGAGGTCCCTAATGGAATTCCAGAAACAGGACACTCTGGAGCAATGCTGCCTTCCAAGGGACTCCTGGGGAGATTGACAGTTTATAGTTGTCCTTCTTATAAGAAGATTCACACATGGAAGATATGGCGACTCTGTTCTTTGGAGGTCAAGTGAATTTGAAATGTCCAGGTGGAACTTCCCCATCCAAGACAATCTTCCACAAGACCCAGCCCTTTGAGTAGGAAATTCCCTTTCTTAGAAGGTATCTATTCCATCATCCATGCCCCCAACTCTGGTGTCTTCCTGAATTCCAATGGCCTATGATATTTACCTCATTCCTTGAAAGCTTGAGAAATGATTCCCTTTTTCTGGGTGGCAGTGAATGTAGTAGATGTCCTTTTATCCTATAGACCATAGAGTCAGCCTGGGAAGCATCCCTGAAAACCACAGGGCACCAGTGCTCAGCAGCCCAAAACACTGCAAACAGAGCCAGAGGTGGGAATCCCCAAGGGCAGGGAGTAGTGACTAAGAGGGACCAAGTGAATGGGAGGACACAACTGAACCAGTCAGACAGTCACCCATTGGGAAGGAGGCATCTTACCCTCTAGAAGGCAAATACCAGTTCTATGAAGAACAGAAATATTAAGCCTATTTATAATCTCAAGACATTGCTAGAGGAGTTTTCTCCAAATATATCCTGATACCTCTGAAATTCATTAGAGAGGCAACAGTTCCTAGCTGCTATCCTGTCTTCCCCAAGTAGATGAGCCTAATTCCTTGATCCTCTGCTCCAGGTGATTGGAAGACCATTCAAAAACCCAAAATGGGGAAGGGGATTGTGTCATGCAAAGAGGTGTGTGTTATTTATTTATTTATTTATTTTTTGGGTTTGGTTTTAGAGTAGGTTGGGTTGCCATGGTTACTAGGTGATGGCAGCCCTCAATGGCAGAGAAGTTTCCAGCTCAGGAGGGAGAGTGCATGCTCGTTTGCATAAGAGGAATGGACTGAATTTTGCTGATGATGGGCCAACGGCTGCTTTGGAGATGGTGAGAGATTGGATGTTATATAAACAGAGCTGTCACCCCTCTCCATCCTGCATGCAAACAGACAGACCCAGCTGTCTGCAGCACTGTGGGTTTTCAGAATTAGAGGCAGGACAGAAAGAGCAACTGTTGTAAACAAAAGCAAGGGACCCAGCCTGGACCTTGGTGCCAGTATTTTTTTTTTTTCTCTGTCAAACTTAGCTATGCTGTGTGCCCTTGGGGATTGTATATGTCTTATTTCCTCCTTTAAAAGTTGGGGGTTTGAATGACTATTGAAACAAAATCAGTGCTCCCTGTTTAGGGCACTCATGAAAAAATAGCTTTGCAAGCCTTTCTCTTATCAAAATCAAATGGCCTCCTCTGTTGATTGCCTTCTGTTTCTTCCAGTATTGCCTCTCGTTAGCTGAGATGATTGTGGAGATGGGTGACGCAAGTTCCCAGAAACATTCATGTCGACAGGTAGCACTGGAGTTAGTCTTCCTGCTTTTCTCAGTGGCAAAATGAGAACTGGCCTACAACACTGGAATCAGCGGTTGTCATGGATACCATGTAAAGCTCAGCAGTTCTGCTGGGGCCCATGGTTAGAGAAACTCCACGTAGTTCTCAGGGATGAGGCCAGTCTTTCCATTCAGAGTCCCCTCCAACCAGCCAGGCTCCTGAGATGGATGGACTGTATGGGAAGGGGAGAGAGGGCGAGAAGAAATGACATTATACATAGCGCAAATGCTGGATGTGTGTTGTGTGTGTGTGTCAAGAAGTTTGGGGAATAAGTGCAACCACTTGTTAGATTACATAATTCTGGGGCTCGTTTAAACCAGAGGTTCTTAACCTTTCATGGGATATCAGCCTTCTGATGAAGGCTGTTCTGAACTTTTTTTCCACAACAAAAAGGAAACGGACATAGGCATTAAAATTTTTTGCATGCAATTTTAGGGGTTTGAATGGCTTTGTGAAGATCTTGTTCCAACTTAAGTGACAGATTTGTATTTTTTAGGTTAGAGGTTAACAGTTGGGTGCTCCATCCATGTATGTATCCATCCATCCATGTACCCACCTAGCTACTCAGTATCACCAAGTAGAGTGCTCATAAGGACTGCTAAGAACTAGTCTTTAATGACGTCTAGCTTTTAATCATGTATTTTATTTTCCTTCAAATCCTACCCTCTGCTTCTAATTTCCTTGCAAATTCTTTTTTCTTTTTTTTTTCATTTTGCAGCCTTTGAGTGAGCTGTCCCTCCCACATCCTTACTTTTCTTTCCTCTGTAACTCTAGAAATTTCCCCCTTCCTATAAACAAGTCTGAAAGCTGTCCTCTTCTTCCTTCTACTGCCACTTCCCAAGTTTACTGATCCTTTGATTTTTTCAGTATCCAAAGAACACAGATCCATTTTTGTGACATCATAATTCATCTCCATGGAAACCACTGTGATATTACAAAGATGATAGAAAAATCCAGCTGAGTCTGCGAAGTAGTCAATAGCAGGAAGGAAGAAAGAAGGAGCTGTGGGACCAGGAGGTGGGAGGTGTCCGCATTTGTGAAGGGGGACATGCAGATCTCTGGGGTGTGGCAGGGCATTTACTCTTAATGTATTAGGAAAACTCCAAATACATGAGATTGTTTGGAAAAAAATGAATTTCCCCCGTTCCCTTCCTGGGCTAATAAAGTAACTTCCTGAGCTTGTTTTAGAAAAGCATTTCCGCCCCAACACTACTATATAATTCTACTTTCGGTTTGTAGGGAAAGAAGCAAAAACAGAAACCAAAGGAAGCAAATGGGGAGGGAGCAAAAGGACAGGCCCTGAGGCTTAGAGAAGATCAATGTCAAATGCATTGCTTCACATGCTTCCTTAGGAAAGCACAGGTCACACGTCTATTCCTTGGCCTCCAAAATCCTGCACAGTTTCTTGCCCTAGGTTAATTTTTAATTTTTTTTTTTAGTTGTAGATGGACACAATAACTTTATTTTGTTTGTTTATTTTTACGTGGTGCTACGGATCAAACCTAGTGCCTCACATTGCGAGGCAAGCGCTCTACCGGTGAGCCACAACCCCAGCCCCTCACTAGGTTTTAAGAATAAAGCTGAAGTAAGCAAGGATACTTTACATCCATGGCAACCCACACAAGGAAGAGTCTGGTGAGAAGTGCTACACAAGAACACACACAACTTAAAAGCCATCTGGCCTTTCTAGTCACCAAGGACTCAGGCCACCCCTGAACAGCACCCAGATACCCCTGTCCTCAGCCCACCTGCCCAGCTGAAGCTGCCAATATCACTTCCAGTTCTGTACCTATGAAGTGGTGACAATGACATCTTTCCCCTTCTTGTGTCAATTAGAGGAGACAATAAGGGTGAAGCACTGCCCAGGGCCAGGCACATCATAAATGCTTGGTAAGGTTATTTGGGGAGGACCATGCATCATTTGTCTGGTCATGTGGACTAGCTGACTAGACACCCTAGTAAAACCTGGGTGAGGGCCAACTCTCCGTACCCACTAAGGCATCAGGAAACCTCAGAGGTTGAGAATCAAAATGAACAAGTCAAACCCATTCCCCAAAATGAAAGGCCTAGAAAGAAAAAAAATAAACCAACTGAACAAAATAAAAAACAACCAAAAGACCCGCCCGCCCAGCTTCACGGCATAGCTCCTGGCTGAGCCGTTAATACACTGGGCATACAAGTTCACCTCCTGTAGACATGTCGCCCTTCCTGGCCAGCTGTTCAAACAGCATAGGTACTGAAGTAGTAACATCTGCAAACACCAGAGACATATTTTGCAGATTAAGGGAAAAATCAGAGGGGACAAGGGAGGCCCTTCAAACTGGAGGCCAAGACATATGTCATATGGCATGGCAGGGGATGCAGCAGGGCTTGGGTCAGTCTGCTGATGCACAGGGTCTTCAAGTAAGGGTTTATGAGACAGTAGTGGCCAATCATGTGAATCATCATCACATGCATGCTCACCAGATTCTTGGGCCCCACCAAATGAATTAAAGAAGAATCTCTAGATTCTTGGAGCCTAGGAATCTGTATTTTAATTGGTGCACAGAAGAGCTTTGACTTTTCTGTGCAAAATGCCTATGTAATAAAGATGGAAATAAAAATTAAATTGCAAGTTTTTATTAACTGATGGAGGAGGGAGGCAGCCCCAGATGTCCCTTCTTCCAGACGTCTTCAGTTTTCTGTCATCACTTTAATACTTAGCTGAAGCCCCAGCTTCATTAGAATCATGCAATCACTTCCACCTGCTCGCTCCCTCCTCCTGACTCCTAGAAGACTCATGGGACATCCCATGTAGTGTTTTGGGGATCCTATTAATAAACTGCTCCAATGTGAAGCTTTGATTCTCCACATAGTTTTTTAGTGCATTTTGGTTTGTGTTATAGCACTCCCTGGCGTGACAACTTCAATACTTCCCCCTGCTTGTTGGAACATTTAGAAATGCTCACTATCAAGCAGTTGTGTGCTCAAAATTATAGATATATTGATTATCTGACCTTCACTGTCCTTATTTGTATTATTATCTTCATCCCTACTTTATGGATGAGAAAATAAGGCCCAGGCAGGTGAATTAATTTATACATGGTCTTAACAGTAGAAACAGAATTTGAACACAAATTGTCTGACTTCAGAGACCAAGCCCTTTATCCTATATCCCGCCTCTATTCAACCAGGGAATGTGCTCCTTAAAGATCCGAATGACAACACATGTGTAGACATGTGTAGCGGTAGACCCTTTGCTGATAAGTGCTTCCACATCACCTGCTTTCATCTTCAGAGTGACTGTGGAGATGGTTCTGCTAGGATCCTCATTTTACCAATGAGAAACTGAGGCTCAGAAAGGTCAAGTATCTTGTCTAAAATTACACAGCTGGTATCTGTGTAATTTTGGACAAGATACTTTGGACAATCTATCTATACGATGGAAGCATATCAGAGCCCAGGACACCTGACCTGAGAGTCTATGGTCCTAACCTCTACTGCTTTGGCCTAGCTCAGTGCTCTGAATGTTGAAGATGTTCAGTGAGGAGCTTAGTGGGCTGAAGTGCACTGGTTGATGCCCAGCACTCTGAACTGCACCAGTGTTCAATGTGCCATAGAAACACTAGAGGTGTTGATGCAGGCTGCCTGGGCGGCTCTCCAGCTCACCAAGCATATAATAAATATAAGGTGCTGCTGAAATGGGTGTGCTTCTTGCCTCCCATTCTCCCTCAGCCATGTCCTTGGCTATGCCCTATAACTCAAGTTGTATCCCCCTGCACCTACACTCAAGTTCCCTCCCTTCCTTAGCTCACTGTGGACTGGGGGCAAGTGTGTGACTAAGATCACTAATGTCCCTGGGGGAAGAAACCTTAACTGGAAGAGATATGGATCTCTGTATGGTTGAAATACATTTATTCATTTAACAACTGAGCAACTAATGTGTGCCAGACACTGTTCTTGTTGGTAGCATACAGAACAAGCAGACAAGAGTCTGCTCCCAGGGAGGGATAATCAATCAATAAACAAGCATATCATTTCAGGTAGTGCTAAGAGGAGAGACAGACTGGGATAGGGGTCTGGGTAGGGAGAGAGGAGCTCAAAAGGCTAAAACCTGAATGATCCAAAAGAAATCAGCTAGGAGGTGGTAATGCAAGTACCAAGGTCCTCAGCTGTGCAAGAGTTTGGGGTCAGTTGAGAACAGTGGTCTGCATATTTTTCATAAAGAGCCTTATAATAAATTTAAAAAAAAACATGGATGGCTGTGTTTCAATAAAGTTTTATTTCTAAAAACAGGTGGAGGGCTGGATTTGACTGGCAGGGGAAATAGGGTTTGCCAACCCTATTTCAAAACATAAAAGTGACCTGTGAGGCTGCAGCATATCAAGTGAGGGAGAGAGGAGGTCAGAAGGGCAGGAGCTGGGCCGCAGAGGGCCTCATAAATAATTCCCAGAGTAGGGGGAGGCTGCTGGGGTACTATATGCGGGGAATAACATGATGTGATTTCCATGTTTCAAAGACCACAGGCTGCTTCATAGAGAATGCTTTGCAGGGGAAAGAATGAAAGTGACCAGACCTGTTAGGTGGCTGGTGGACATGCCCAAGTGAGAAGTGGAGGGGACCCAGCCTTGGGTGTCACAGTGAAGACAGTGAGGGAGGCTGAAAGAGTCCCCCCACCTGCAGCCCTCCCAGAACCCCACTTCCTGGGCAGCTTGGAGGCTCCCTGGTGAGGATGCGCTCCATCAGCATGCAGCACCTGGGATAACCCTGCCCAGCACCACTGCTGTACCCTGTGCACTGCCACCAAGGGCTCTAGCTCATCTCAGATCCTGATGAAAGTATCCCAAGAACCCAATTTTAGTGACTGCCATGTGAATTTTCCAGGTATTGCTGATCACACTGCTTCCAGATGACTAATGTTCTTGAGAACACGAGGTATTTCTCTTTCCAGTTACTGTGTGAGGTGCTCCTGGTGAAGTGCACAGTTTCCTAGTAGACTGGCAAAGGCTGACACTGGAGTTATTTCCGAGTACTGCATGTCCATCCCCCCACTGACCAAAGTCCAAGAGCTGACAAAGCAGCTGCTTGAGTCAGGGCAGGGGCCTGGAGTCCAAGACTGAGATCAACCCTTATGAAACAACAGCCTTTTGCCTCCATGTGCCCCTCCCTCCTCCCTCCTCCCCCCTCCCCCTCCTCCTCCTCCTCCTCTTTATTCCTGAAAATAAAAATACAAGAGGTACAACATACACACAGCACAGAGGAGCCCACGTGCCTTCTGAACCTGTCATTAGGAAACTCTCTTCTGATTGGTGTGATGATTTCATTTGACAGCTACAGAGCATCCAAGTTAAACAGCCCTTACCCAATACCTCCAGCAGTAAACCTATGAGAGGCAGAAAGGGAAAAAGACCCCTCTGTTGAACCCATCAATAGTTTTCTTTTCTCCTGTAATGCCTGATTTTTCATATAGAGGTGAAGGAATCTAATAAAAATAGGACCTAATAAAATATTATCAGCCAAACCAATCTAAAAAGTGGATTAACATTTCATCAGTTCCATCTTTGACTGCAGCTCAGTTAACACCAAGAGGTGTTTTCTTTCAGGTTTAATTTGGCACTGTTCTTTAGGGAATTGGAAAGGTCACTGGCATTGCTGGTTACAAACAAACTAGGGTCAGTGAACTCTGCCACGACTCCTGGAGATCACAGAAAGGCTTCGGTAAGGCCCCGGACCCCTTCAACCCAACCTCTCTCCTGCTCTCATTTACCACCATGAGATTTATGATGATTACCAAGTTTAGGGTGGGTGTAGAGCACCCTGCTGGGAAGAAATGGAATTGGCAGTTAAAAATCACGTGAGTATCTTATTTTTTGGTTAACTATTTAAACTTCTTCAGAAGGACACTTCACAGGAAAGGAGGCAGGAATATAAAATGATATAAGCTCCTTGTAAAACAATTTGGCACTTCCTTAGTTAAAAAGAGTTAGTATGTGACCCAGGAATCCCACTGTTTGGTGTATCCCCAAGACCAGTGGAAACATACGTCTTCAAAGAAACTTATAGCTGAATGTGGACATCAGTATTACTAATAACAGCCCAAAGTGGGAACAAATGACATGTCCATCCACTGATAAATGTTTAAATAAAATGTGGTATAGATCCGAACAGGGGAACATTATTCAGCCACAAAAGGAATGAAGTTCTGACATAGGCTTCATGGATCAACCTTGAAGACATTATACAATGTAAAAAGAGCCAGTTATACTGTGAAATTCTATGTGTATGAAATATCCAGAGCAGCCAAATCTATTGGGGCAGAAAGTAGATCAGTGGCTCCCTTGGGCTGGCTGGAGGAGGGCTGGGGTAAATGTGGCATGATTGGTAGGGGGTGTGGATATTTCCTGAGGGAGGGTGATGAAAATATCCTGGAATTAGATGATGGGTGTACAACTCTGAATACACTAAAAACCACTGAAAAGTAGATTTTAAATGGGTAAATCCACAATGGTATATGGATATCTCAATAAAGGTATTTTAATAATGTAAAAAGAAGCCAGGCATGGTGGCATACGCCTGTAATCTCAGCAGCTCGGGAAGCTGAGGCCCTAAGCAATGCAGTGAGACCCTGTCTCTAAATAAAATACAAAAAAAGGCTGGGGATGTGACTTAGTGGTTAAGAGTCCCTGGGTTCAATCCCTGGTACCAAAAAAAAAAAAAAAGACTTCACTTGATCAAAGGAGTGACAGTTTAACACATGAAGCATATTTTGGTCCTCTGTGTGCTTGGGGTGAATAGCTGATAGGAATAAGATGGTCCCTTGCACACATGAGCAGGGAACTGGGACCTGGAGGATGGAAATTCAATTCCTGGTTCACTTACAAATTTGGGGCTCTCTCACACCTTGCTTACCTTTGAGCAGAAGCCCCTCCCCTGCCAACAGCAGGGGACAGAAATCTGAGCAATGCAGCCCATTGTGGTTCATTGCAGAAATGGTCATGTTACAACTGGGTCTATTAGGGGGATTCTCATGGATGACATGCTCAGGGATTGCTTTCAGCAGACCCACTGTGACCTGCCAGTCTGCTGGGACCTGAACACACCAGCTGCTGGCAGCAGAGGTGGCTAGGCTGGTTTTTGCACTCTGATTTGTAAAGTACCCAAGTGAAAGTTAACAATGGTTTAAGGATAGTGCTTTGAGGTCTGAGAAACATAAAGGGAAACACAGGCTCAGCAGGCCAATCAGGCCACATGCAGTTCTGGGCTTAATCCTGCTTCTGCTGGCCCAGGTGGCCCAGGGTTGAGTGTGACCTGGGAATCACCCTCTCCCCCAAGTCTGTATTGCTTTCTATTCTGTCTATCCAAGATTGATTAACATCCCCACTAAGCAGATCCATGGGGTGAGCACACAGGTGGTAGCCCTTTGATGAAGTCAAGGGTTGGTCCCCAGGAACTCATCTTTGCTCCAGCTTGGAATGTAAGGCCCTTCCAGGTACAGCCAGGACCCATAGAGTTGAGGTGAAGCACCTACTGCCCAGCCAAAAGCCAGGCTTGGGCCATACTGGCTAAAAAGGAGACAGTCCTTGGGAACTATGAAAAGATAGGGCCTTTTTGTGAAACAGAGAGAATGATGATGATGATGATGATGATCTCAATGATAAGATATTAAATGCTTAATATGTGTTAAGCTCTATTATGGTTTGAATCTTAAGTGTCTCCCAAAAGCCATATGTTAAAGTCTTGGTCCACAGTTGATGGTACTATTAGAAGGTGATGGAAACATTAGGTAGGTCCTACTTGGAGGAAGTTGGTATGTGTGTGTGTGGGGGGGAGGTTTATTTTGTCTCTGCTCCTTTCCCCCACCTCTATCACTCTCTCTTTCTGTTTCCTGGCTGCCATGAGGTGAGCAACTTTGCCCTACCATAACCCTTCCACCATGATATTCTACTTCACCACAGGTTTACAACAATGGAACCTCAAACCATGAGCCAAAATTTATCTTTCCCCCTTTAAGTTGTTTTTCCTCAGGTATTTTGTCATAGCAATGGGCAGCTGACTAATACAAGCACCATTTTAAACATATGATGTGCATTACCTCAATTTCCTCTCTCAGTGCTCTATAAGGTAGGCAGTGCCATCTTTCTATTGCAGAAGAAAACTGGGGCATAGAGAGGTTAAGTCGCTGCTTGAGGTCACACAAGAGAAAGTGGTCAGGCTGGGACCTGTAGTACTGCTGGGCTTTAGAGTTCAGGTTTTCCAAGGCTACATGGTCACCTTGGTTGCCCTGTATTGCTGGCTCTCAGTCAGGTGGGAGGAGGTGGGATCTGGACCAATGTGGGCCACTTGCGAAGATGAATGTGTTGGGTAACAAAAATATCTATTCCTAAACCTTTACCCCTGCCCTACCTGAGGCCAGGGAGGCAGCCAAAGAAAAACATCCAATTTCTGAAACCAGGCAGCTGCCTTTGCTTCTTTCTTTGAGGGAAAAAGAACAGATGCCTTTGCCCAGAGATCCAGGAAGGCGAACCCTAAAGGAGAGCTTCACCTGGGGACAACTGAGCTGTCATAGGAACATGGGCTTTTTCAATAGAATCCAGATTTTTCTCTTGGTAAATGATAAGTCTTTATGGCAAATTATGACATCAATTGTCACTTAAAATTTATTTTTTAGGGAGAAAAACAAAATTAAAAGGCACAAGAAAATGGTGGTAAAGCCAAATACAAAATCCCCATTTTATGGGGGGGGGGCTGTGCATCCATTTTCACAGCAGGATTCTGGAGTAGGACAGCTGGAAGCTTGCACGGTGACAATTGTGAGATAGTTTATGTTCCCAAAAGTTAAGAAGAGGATAAACAGGAACCCAGTGAGCCTTACTGCCCCAGAGCTTACCACATGCCCTGCCATCTGGGGAGTATGTCTTGCCTGCTGGGGAGGGTAAACACAAGAGGAAGAAGGCACAGAGCAGGTGGTCTCAACTTCCACCTGACCTTCGCACTAACTGCAGCCCATTTCTGTTCTTCAGCATTTTTTTTAATTTTTTGGTGGAGGGGAGAGTACTGGGGATTGAACCCAGTACTCAGGGGCACTCAACAACTGAGCTACATCCCCAGTACTATTTTGTATTTTATTTAGAGTCAGAGTCTCACTGAGTTGCTTTGCACCTCGCTGTTACTGAGGCTGGCTTTGAATTCCCAATCTTCCTGCCTTGGCCTTCCTAGCTACTGGAATTACAGGTGTGTGCCACTGTGCCTGGCTTTCTTCAGCCTCTGTGTCTTACCCTCTGTCCAAACCTCAGATTTTTTTTTTCTTTTTGGTACTGGGAATTAAACTCAGGCACATTCTACCACTGAGTCCTTTTTATTATATTTTGAGACCAGGTCTGGCTGAGTTGCCCATGCTGGCCTTGAACTTGCAGTCCTCCTGCCTCATCTGAGTAGCTGGGATTAAAGATGTGCACCACCGCTTCCAGCTGCACCCCCACCTAGACTCTAGAAGTTACTGCCAGGTACTGGGTTGAGTCCTCTGCAGGCAAAAATCTCATTTATGTTCATAACACCTCAAAGAATTGCTGATTACTTGCCTATTCTTGATCATGTCTTCAGAGTCTTGTTTCTATTCTCTTATTTTGGTTTGGTCTTAACCACTCTATTGAGATTTTCCCTAGGTAGGAATGCCAGTTATTCAGATGCTTCCCCCATATTTTTCCAAGGGGCTGAGAAACTCACCATTATCAAAGACCGTGCCTGCTATGAATGAGAGCTCCGAGTCGTGTTCAGCTTTGCAGGCATACAACGCCTTTGCCTTCCGGAACGGTGTGCTGTGTGAAGACAAGAATTTATTTAACATTTTTTTTCCCAAACCTCAGAAAGCCCCAGATATTTTCTCTCTTCTTCTTCCCTTTCCCTGAAGGCCACCTAGTCCTCACTTGTGGGAAGAGCCTGACAAGGCAGCCAGATGGCAAAACATGAGGTGGGACAGTTGCAAAGGTCACAGTAGAAAAATGAGAAATATTCAGAGTAAAGCCATAAGCTCTAAGAAACTACACTCTGTGAGGGGTCACCTTGTGCCACGTTAAAACTTTACCTGGGAGTTATGGTTGCTGAACGTGGAAGGACAGGCTGGGCCCCATTTCTGGAGCAGGAGTACCTTGTGGGGAGGGAGAGAGGGTCAGGAAGGAACTTTCAAGCTGCTCTGAAAACACTCCCGACACTCTTGAAATACTCAGCGAGTCAAGAAGGAGAAATTCCAGCAGAGCCAGGTCTCGGCTCCTGGCCATGGGCTGACATTACTTCTCCCAGATGTTCCTTATTTTCACTAGGCTAGGTCTTACAGGTGGGGCAGGATTCCAGAGCAGGAACCCTCAGGATGGGCAGGCAACGGAGAAGGTATATGTGAGCAGTCACACATATGTGTGCATGAACACACATGTGCACCAATGTGTATTGGGGGGGGGTGCAGCAAGAAGGTCGAGGGGACGAGATTTTTTTTTGTCCCCATTCCAGTAAGTGATGGCAAACACTCTCACTGTGCATCAGAAACACCTGGGGAGCATTTAAAAATTGCAGATGTCTGCATTCTACTGACTTGCAGATTCAAACACTGCCATCAGGATTTTAAAAACAAAAAACAAAAACAAAAAGTTGGCGTGTGTCACCCTCCCAGTGATTCTCATGCAATCAAGACAGAGAACCACAGTACCAGATCAGAGGTTGGCAGATTTTTTTCTTCAAAGAGCCATGCAGTAAATCTTTTAGGGTTTTTGGTCCTATGGTATCTGTTAGAACTATTCAATGCTGCACTGCCACAAGAATGCAGCCACAGATAACATTTAAATGAATCAGTGTGGATGTGTTCCAATAATACTTTATTGACAAAACACAGGCAGGGGGTCAATGTGACCTACCACAGGTCATAATGTACTAACCTGTGTTTTAGAGAATAGTTTGTAAATTCTATTCTCCTCTGTCAATTTTGGCTTTGCTGTCCAACTAGTTTCAAACAATCTATATAGACTTCTAAAGGATCAGAATGATAATCTGGCAAAAGTTGCCTCCTTGGCCACCAATGATTCTCTTCCTCTATGTCATCTGAGGAGGTGCTCTTAAAGGCTCAGAGGCAGGAAAAAAGAGAAGAAGAAGGAAAAAAAAAAGAGCAAGGTTGTTTTCTGAATTAGAAAATTATCTATAACTGACTAATGGAGAGCCTCCAGGAGCAGTGTATACGATTTCTGGTGGCGGAGTGAGACTCAGCTGAGGAAGGGTCTGGCCTCAGGTAAGGTCAGGTAGAATCAGATGGGGCCTGGTGTCTTGGTCATTCTGGAACTGTTATTTTATTTTATTTTTTTTTTTGGCATTACCAAGTTCAACTTTCCTCTGTGAAACGAGAGTGATAGATGGATGGAAACCTAAACTAGGACCAAATGTCTAGACCTTCCAGTCTTGGGTCCATGAAAACTGAAAGGAAAAACCACTTAAAAAGTCTGTGTACAGTAGGGCCATCAGAATAAATGATATCCAGAATTTGTTGCCAGGGCAACAACAGTTTACTGCTGTTCTCTCTGGTGTTCTAATAGCTAAGAGATGATGGCCAGATGGGAAAAAATTGGGAAAGTGGGAGAAAATGAAGTGGGGCCATTGGGAATAAAGGAGAGAGCCTTTAGTATTCACCAATTCCCAGTGGAAAGTAGCTCTTCCTGTCTAATTATCATTGAAGAATAAAGTTTGGGACAAGGGCACATTCTTTGATTAACTAAGCCAAGTCTGTGTGTTGGCTAGCTGGGGTTGAATATTCATGTGCAACTTTCCAGGGACAGAAAAATAAAGCCTATTTTTTAAGGGGGGGGGGCGGTAACAGAGAGGAAAAGAAGTCAGCTGGCTGTGAAAACTGCTAAAACCATACTAACAGGTAAGTGGAGCTTGTCATGACATCAGAGGTGGAAGGAGAATCCAGGCCACAGGAGCCAAGGTCTTAGAGACCAGGTTTGGAAGCAGGATTACTGCCTCTTGAGGACAGGGCAGAGCAGGGCAAAGTTCAGGGGGATGGGGAAGGCAGGGTCCCTCTGACTGGATTTTTGTAGAGGTTATTTATTAACCTCATTAAGTAAAGGTAATAGGACAAAATAGGGGTAAGCCAGGGAAACCAGCTGGGGTATTTGGCAGGTGGAAAGAACAGGGAATGGTCTCAGGTGCCTAAGGTTATGATTTAAAAAGAGTAACTTTTCACTAATATTAGGTTTTAGGTATTGAATAATGAAAAGACAAGAAGATAGCACAATAAAAATAAAAACAAAGGACAGGAAAGGCCCTTTTTTTTCTCTCAAGAGAAGAGGTGACTAAACAGTCTTTGGGAGGGTCCTTTCCTCTGAGGCTTCTCCTCTATCACCTTAGGATGTGCAAAAGGAACAAAAAAGGGTGTGTGTGTGGGGGGGTAGGGATGCTAGAAGGGATGCCTTCATTATATTTTTTATCTATCATCTATCTATCTATTTATTTTTGCAGCGCTGGTGGTGGAACCCAGGGTTTTGTGTGCACTAGGCAAGTGCTCTCCCACTGAGCTACGATCCTAGAAGGGGTGCTTTAGAAAGGAGTAATTCTTGTTCCCCAAGGGTAGGGTTGCCAGAAAAAAATATAGGACACCTAGTTAAATCTGAATTTCAGGTAAACAATGAATATTTTTGTATATGTGGGACATACATATACTAAAAAATATTTGCTGTTTTTCTATGATTCAAATTTAACCAAGTATGCCATATTTTTATCTTATTTGCTAAATCTGGCAATCCTATCCAGGTGAAAGTCTTATCTTTTTAAAATTCTGTCAACCCAACAAGTTCCGGATCCCACAACTCCCTCTCAAAAGCCTTGAGGAGTTTGCTTTTCATAGGGCACGTATTAAAACAGATCCTCTTGGCAGAAAGATTGTGTCTGTAGGCTTTGGCTCTGATTAAAAAAAATAAGTCCTTGCCATGCATCTTTGGTTCCTACTGTCGGCAGTGCACCTCAACGCTGGACACAAGACAGCCTGGGGTGGTTTCAGCTGCTCCCGTCACAGCACTGTTGAGCCCTCCACTGGGCCTTAAGGGCATGAACAGGTTTAGATCCTTCTGCTAGTTTACTTTTAATTTTTGCCTTCTGAGCATGGCACGAGGCCAGGAAAGCACTCAGAGGAGTTTCCCTCAAATGCCCTTGCAAGCTTGCAGAAATGACAACCCACTCTATTGTACGCATTGCTGGGAGGTGGGGTCAGCTAGGCTGGCAGGTTGCAATGACTTGATCATTAAGGCACAATTTCCAGGGGCACATGTGCAAATGCAAGTTATGGGTATGGGACTGGGGGGGGGCGGGTCCTCAGGAGGCTGGTGGGTAAATGAAAAAAAGGGGAATGTGAAGAGAATGCCCCTCCACACCCTTATGGCTTCATTCCCAGCTTGAACCAACAAGCTCTAAAAATGGTTTGAAGAGGAGTGAAGAAGCCATTTCTAGAGGAGACATTATGTAGAAGTTTATGGGGCTATTAATTTAGTATTTTGTTTGTTTGTTTGTTTTTTAAAGCTCTGCCCAGAGAAGGAAATCTGAAGCTTCATGTCTTTTAAGTAGATCTGGGGGAGGCCTCTCACTGAACCTGATTAATGGGTTTATGCCCCCACCTCTTGGCTACACACTGCAATAGCAATTAGGGGATTGTAGCCCTCTACATTCCTCTGGTGGGCTCTCTGTCCTCCAGTGTCCTCATGTGTGCTCACTTTGGCACACACATGTAGCTCAGTGAGTGCCAATTCCAAGCCCTTCTCAGCCTTGCCTATTTCAAAATGGCAGCTTCCTGAAGGGCTGTGGAAGAACATCATCCAAATGGTGCTATTCTAACAATGACCAAAGGGGGCACTACTGAGTAACCATGACCCCAAACACACCAGATGAGCAGCCTATTGCCACTGTCCACAGCCAATCTGGAAATAGCTTGAGAGGTGGAAAGGAGTGAAAGGAAACACCCCCCCCCCAAAAAAAAAAAAAAAACCTTGGAAAAGGAGTGGAGAGGTAGAGATATCTGACAAGCAACAGGGCCCCACAGCTCAGGGACACAAAAAAGTAAATACCAGTAAAGCAGACAGTACATTTCTTTTCTTTTCTTTCTTTTTTTTTTTGTAACTGAATGATCCCATTATTTGAGGCCCTTCACCCATTCTGTCCAAGGGGGCAATATTTTATTTACTCCCTTTTGATGAAAACGAAAGAGCCACATTCTCCTAATGCTCGAGTCTCTCTGAAGAGTAAGTGAGCATTTTGGAAGGCAGCTGTCTCTGGTCACTTTAATGTAGAAAAGGTCCTCATGAGGCAATGAGTGATCTCACCTGCACAATCCATACCATCTCTGGTAGCCTGGGATGTAAATATCTCCCAGGCGTCCAGAAGTTCTAGGATCTGAATTTTTACCTTATTTATTAGGGTGAGGAAAAAAGAATATGCTGAAATATCTAGTTTTCCCATCATTCAGGACAAGTCTAAGTAGAAAACTGTGCATGCCTAGACAGGCCAGGCTCTAGGGTTGGCAGCTACACGAAACTTGAAGTTGAGGCTACCCATGTGTTTGGAAAAAAGAGAGCTGGGCTGAAGGGCCAAACTCCTGAATTCTGCATTGGCTCCATTTAGTCAAGTGACTGTGTCCAAGGCACCTCTCTGTACCTAACTTTGCTTTTTTATAGTAGGGTTCAGGCCATGTCTTGTCTCATTCTCACATGAGAATAGACTGAAATGATAGATTGAAAATGGCTGGAGGGGGATAGAGTAATGTATGTAGTTCTCTATAAATAGCATGGGGTTTTCCTTTTTAAAAAGTTGAGAGTCAGCTTTATAAATTATTTAAGCCTCCCTGATGGACCCAACCTTGGGAGAAAAAGATGGATGAGAAAATATGGCCAAAGCTAGAATGTTCATGATATTTACAATTCAGCCCTATATTTTGTTTATCTGAAAGCAGAGACTAAATTCAAAAAATACCCATCCTCGGGAACTACACAGCAGAGAGATCTGCATGATCTTTGTCAATTCTTTTCCTGTATTTGAAGAGCTTCTTTTCTACAAAGAGCTCAAATGCAAATAATTGTGGCATGTAAGTGTGGAAGTCACCAAGGCAAGAGAAATTATAGCACAGCCCTTGGGGAGAGGAATTAGGTCAAGCCGCTCACCCTCAAAAAGAGGAGGTGCCTGTTCCCGCGAGTGCTCAGGTTCATGACAGAGACAGAAGGCTGGGAGCCCAGATGGTTCCTGGAGTATACTGGAGGGCAAGGAGGCATAAGCCCTGAGCAATTTAAAGAGAAACTGCTTCCTGTCTGTCTTTTATTCTGTTATATTATCTTTTGCCCCATGGATCTGGTCTCAGTGATGAGGTGTCAGTGCTCATGGCCAGTGGCCCAACCCCACAAATAAATGTTGTCTGAGGCTACCTGATAAAAATGAGAGAAGGCCAGCATGCACCTCAGCACTGTCCCCTTGTATGTTATCTTATACCAAAGCAGAGAGCCAAAATGATTCATAGAGCCATCAAAAGAGGAGCTTATTCAGGAGGTGCCCTTTCCCCAAACTCTAGGCATCAGAGATTAATTCAACATGAGTTAAGGTTAGAAAGGGTGTGAAACATGTCATGCTGTTCATGCAAGTGGTCCCTTCTGGCTTTGGTCTCTTAGGATGGAACCACAGGAGAGTAGAGGAGGCCCCCATTGTCCCTGGCCAGCTTTGGATAAACGGGAACAGGTTGGTCATCATCCGTGGTTTTACCTGGAGTCTTCATGGACCGCTTCTTCTGGCCTGTCAAAAAGCAAGTGCAGGTTTGGATGGCAGGGAACAAAGTTGACGAGGAGGCTGAACACTGCATGAAGAGAGGACCAAGCCAATGAGAGAACAACGGCAGCAACAGAAAACCAAACAAACCCTGCAACAGACCTGACGGGGGATGAGTCGCTGGACGTGGATGAGGTGGGCATAGGGCTGGATGGCGCCGAGAACATGGGCCAAGATGGCGAGAGGGGTGAAGTTGGGCTTGGATTCGGGGGGCTGCAAGACAGAACAACCAGAAAACTCATCAGCACACACAGGGAAACCACAATGGGAGCATGGGAGGTTCATGGGAGGCCAAATGATGGGGCATTGGAGCAGAACACAGGAACACTAAAACCCAGGGACATGTGGTCAAGGCCAAGTCACATTTCTCCAGACCAGACCTTTGCATCTTCCAAGGAATTCCTGTTCTGTAATTCCTCGAAGCACAAACATGTCTCTTTGCCCAGCAGAACAAACTGCTTTCTAGGTGACAGGCACTTCTCCAATCATGTTCATGGTACCTCTGGCCATCGGTGGACAATGCCTGAAACTATATACCTGAGCTCCATATCCTATCACCAGCCTTGTTCCCACACAGGGTTAGCTTAGCACCAGCCTCAGCTCCCACTCTTATGGGAATGTTTTAAACGTATGTCTCAGCAGAAACGACCATTTTTTTTTCTGGGCCACAAGGGCCAGAAAACAATTTCCTGTTTACATTTTTAACTGAATGGGCTATGTGTCATTAGAGATCCGAAGCACCGCATTAGAAACTCGATAGTGGATACGGACACACACCTCTTAGAAGGTGGTGTGCAAACACGGCTGCGTGCAGTTCCCTGGAGGTTTGCTCTCTAGGTTAGCAGTTTCTCCTTTCGTGGATTCTGGTGGGCATTTTGCTGCTTAAAGAAAAAGCCCCAGTGGTAAGGCAATTTGAAAAAGAAAAAAAAAAGCACTGAAACCTTACATCTGTTCATTTTGTTCTTTGATGGGTGGTTGATCAAAGATTTGAAGAGGAAAGGTTGAAATTACTCACTAAAATATGGCTTGTGGATTTTAATTGACCATACTAGCCCTTTGACTTATTTCCACAAATTATACAAACACTTGAAATCACCTTAAGTCCCAGATAGTGCAAACACCAAGGGCTGAGAAGACACGGAAACCAGTTGGCCGGAATGCTGCCTGCAGCCCCTGAGTCTCAGCCGACTGCTGGGCTGTTCAGACCAAGCACTTTATGGAGGTTAAAAAAAAAAAGACAGAAGTCTAATTCAAGGGGAGGAGACTTTCTAAGCAAGAACACATGTATGTTTTATTAAATGAGACTTCTCTAGGGTACACCAATTCAGAGGTGAGATTCGATAATGGCCCTAATTACCTATTGTTGTAACATAAACACCTTTGGAAACATACAGGAAAAATCTATTTCATAAGTTCATTAGATATCCTCAGATGAATCTGATGAAACGTTCACTAAATGCCATTATGTGTATTATATTTCTAGAATACAAATTCCATAACAGCAGGGATTTTTCCCTTTTGCTTATCGTTGTATCTCAATGTCTAAAATAGTACATTACAGGTATTCAATAAGTAATTGGTGAGTAAATTAGTGAATCTCATTTAACATGACCCCACAAGCCTGCAAACAGGCACTATTTAAATTGCCATTTCACAAATGTGAAAATTTGGGCTAACATGAGGCTTGCCTCAGGACAGCCACCCTGTAAGTGACAAGGCTGAGGTTCAAATCCCAATCCCCAAGCTCAGGGCTCTTTTACCAGTGTACTGTCTCTGGGACAACTGGTCTTGCTGAGTGCCTCAAAGCTGTGCTGAGCTTCTTTACAGACCTAGTCATAGCATTAACAACTTTTTTTTTTTTAACCACTGATTTCTGAATTTCCTGTATATGCTACCACATCTGCAAGGGAGCATGAGAATGCAGCCACGGACAGATTCAATAAGACTCCACACATTGTAAATTCCAACAAACTCCAGGATCCTGCCTCTAGTGTTCTGTCTGGTAGATTCATATAGAAAATGGAATTCATATAAGGGAAGAAATTCAATTCAGTGTATGATTCTTTAAATTTTTTTTTTTCTCAATCTAGCAAAGACTTGTCATTGAGTCCCTAGAATGATCATGACAATAAGTGGAATTTGCCAAGATCCTTGACTTCAAAGAGCTGAAAATATATCTGACAAGATGGGGCAAATTAAAAAAAAACAATTGTAATATAAAACAGCGAGATCCATGAGCTAAGGGATAAGTCACTCTATTATTAGTGTAATACCTGTTCCGGCTCGACTCAGTCTAGTCCTAGAGCAGTGTTGCCTCACTTCCACTGTAGTCCTCAGCACAGTGTTGGCAAGAGAGGGCTCACTTTCTCAGTCCCCTCATTTGACCCTGCCCCACTAGATAATGTCCTAAGAGGCAAGGCCTGGCAATGACTACAGCCCAGGCACCCAAGTCTGACCAGGAATGATTTGGAGGTTTGAAAACAGCCCAGTCCTAGAGGCCTAGGGGCCTGGACTAATCTGTTCCTTTGGACAGTGGTTGCCACAGGATAACTAACAAGTCTTTATATCTTTTTTTAAAAAATGATTTTTATATGTAGGAAACAAATTCAGCTTCCTATCCCGTCTGTACCAAGAATTATGCCTTTGGCTAAAGGCAGAAGTGGGAACCTAGTCAAGAACACACGTGGGTTCTGAGTGTTTTCTCATATCATCATTATATATAAATGGTTCTTGGCCAGTAGGACAGGGCTGAAAGCATGGGGGGTGTGGCTGGAATGCAGGGTATGCGTAACTACTCTGAGTTAGTCGTCAATCCCCATGTCAATTGCCATAGTATCAACTGCTATTTTTAACAACTAACAGAACTTCATTTGTTTGTGTTTTAGCCACAGCAATAACATTTATTTGCTATGAAATGACCACAATTTAAAAATTCATTACCGCTACATTTGAGTTAGTGTAAACAATAAAATGCACACTCCCTGGTACTTCTATTTTTAAAACACTAAAGGAATTATGACTTTTGTTTACTTGTACTTCACAGACATGTCATAAATGTCCCTATCAATAATATTAGTGCACATTTTATATACTACAATGATGCTCATACCAACAGGTGGCCTATCTACATAAAAATACTCCTCCAAGAGACACAGAGCATATTACATTTTAGTGTTGATGCAACTCAAACAACATATAAGTGGAATAAAAGAGGTACAGGGATGAGGATAATGGTCTAAGACTGTACAATGTTAAGTTTTCCCTTCACTACAGCAGTATCTGGCTATAATTTGCTTAAAAATGACAGCAATTGACAAAAAACTCACTCCATAAAAATCCCAAACAAAACAGGCTAATAAAAAAATGTTCAATTTCATTCTTGGCTCTAAAACCTTCAGTATCGAATTCTCAAACTTTTTTTCCCATTAATGAGGCCAAAGGTATCAAGATTAAAGTTAAGATAGGAGAAATAACTTTGTAACTACAGTTTTAGCAGATGACCTCTAAAACCCTCCCTACAACCCTCAGTTCAGCCTGGTATTTTGGAGTTCAACATCCCAGCACCCTAAGTACTCCTGGGGTACTCCTGGGGTCCTGCCAGGACCCTCATCAAAGCCCAACTATAGCAACAATGACAACAGCTTTAACTTTAGCATGGATGGAACATTTGCTGGTCTGGTTTGCATCCAACTGGAAGGCTTGCATCAGATCCAGTTTGCTGGCCCACAGAGTCCCCAGAAGGAGTCAGACAGTCCCAGTCAGTTCCTCTGACATTCACTGGACAGTGAAAGAATAACGGTTAGGAAGATAAGGCTAAAAGCCTTGGCAGCATGCAGGGCTGTGGCCGATAGTTAAAGCACAGTGTGTAGCAATATCATCAGCTTGACACCCTTCTGTGGTGACTCATTTGAATGATGGAACGTCTGGTGTACCAGCCAGGGCATGCCTGCCATGCTGTGGACGGGGCTGCCCAGGCAAGCTCCCAATTTGAAGATGAATATGGCAGACCCTCTCTGGTCTCCTCACCACAGTCATGGAGCTGGTACAAGAAGAGTGCTCTTACTGGAGAGGTAAGCTGACCATTACGAAGAAAGATAATTTTTCTATATTCTGATAATCGAAATTATAGTCAGCTTGGTAGGAATTGAAAAGTATGAAAAGGCAAGAAGAAAAATAATAAAGTTAATAGTGACAATAGCGTCCCCCTCACTTTTGGGGGGCATAATGCTACATATGTAGTTAATAGCTGTTTTTTTTTAAATCATTTAATAAATAACAAAAATTTCCCATGTCATTAAATAGCATTTGATATTGCATTTTAAAGTGGCTACAGACTATTGTACAGTACACTCTGATTTATGTAACCATTCACTCATTGTGTACATGCAGATCACTACCCCCCTTTAACTATTATAAACAGTGCTGCAATCATATCCTTGTAGAGGATCACTGTCTGTATCACTGATTGTTTCCTTAGCATAAATTCCTGGAAGTAAAATTAGTGGGTCAAAGGCTAGGAGCTGCTTTTAAGGGTCTTGATATATCCTGCAAATAGCTTTTCAAAAAAATCCTATCAAACTGCACTCCTACCAACACTGGGAATGCCTTCTCACTGTGACCCTACCAGCATTGAGCATTATCATTAAAACAAATAAATAAAAAATAAAAAAGAGAAAAGAAACCTAGACCAACTTTCTTTTCCCCTTAGTTTATGAAGGTTACGTTGGATTCTTCTCTTTCCTGGCATTTTGAATGATGTACAATTGAATACAATTCCCTTCCTGTGTTCTGTTTCTACCTGGAAGCAATGTTTAATTTTCCAAAGGGCATTCTGCCAAGAAAGTAGTTTGGGAGGGAGACAAGTATAGATGGACAGAGAAACAGACAAGCACAACCTAGAATGTCAGACACCTGGCCTGATGGTGTGTCTGCTCCCAGAGAAGCAGGGAGTGGTGGGTATGTAGCTCAACAGAGGACTCTCCAAGACAGGGCTAAGTAGGAGGAAGGAGGTACACAGGGAGGGGATGAGTCTTGTGCCAGCATCACACTATAGAGAAGACATAAAATCAGCATTTACACCGCTTTGGGCAAGCAATGGCCCATCATCTGCAGTATGGGTTCCTGGTCACTTCTTTCAGGCCTGGGCTGCAGATCCTGTCAGATCACTGGAACAGAGCTGACCTTAATGATCCATCTTCCTTCCTTCCTGATTA